GACTTGAGATGCAGACAGACAGACAGACAGACAGACAGACAGACAGACAGACAGACAGACAGACAGACAGACAGACAGACAGACAGACAGACAGATAATTTATCAACTGTCTTCTCGTATTGCCAACTTGAGAACTGCACTCACCAAGGGCCATCCCGCTATCCAATTTTTCAAACACCCGCGCATTGAGAGAAAAAGACCAGAAGGCAAATGTAAAACAAGGCAATATGAAATACTTACTTGGTTGGAGAATAGGCACCATTGCAGGCAGCACAATGTCATAGCTGCTTCTCCCTCCTCTCCAGGATCCATGAAAGGGCCTGCCTGCTGATCGTTGCAATTAACAGCTGGTTGGATGTTCTTCTGGTTTTTCCACGCAAGTTGCTGTCTCTCCCCGACCCTCTAGGGACACTGGCTTCCCTTCGTCTATCCATTGTGTGTGAAGTGGTGCCTTCATCCTCTCTGTGGTCGTTGAACCATGCTGTCAATGTTGCCATGGCTGTGGGTGGATCTAATTGCACGGTACGCCAATCTCAGCCTGGCCGGCTAGCTTATCAACATGTTCATTGCCTTGAACTCCTACATGACCAAGGCTAAAAATCCATTCAATCCTTGTGAATCTGCTGATTTGTATTGCCTCTCGCTCGTATGCATACATCACGTGTTTCTTCACTTTTTCGAGTGTACTTATCGAGTCAGTGACGAAGATGGCAGACTGATTTTCCGTCGTCATAATCCAGTTAAGGACTTCTGAAATGGCTTTCATCTTCATGCACATGTTGGACGTGGTTATTCTAGATCTTGTGGCGTCTGACAGCTCTCTCTGAATGACCCCGTTCACCCGGGCGCTGAAAGCCCATCCAGATGTGACTCCATGTACAATCCATCTGTGAAAATGACAAATATGTCGCCCTGTTCACTGACCGCCTCAAGGCTATCAGCGTCCTGAGTGGCCAGAGGGAGTAGCCAATGCCGAGGAAGAAGCGAATATGAATACAGATCTTGCAATCCTGTAGGTTTTTACTAAAGTCCGAGCAAAAACAACCCCCCCCCCAAAAAAAACAAAACAAAACAACAACAAAAAAACAACAACAATAACAACAACAAACAAACTAACCAACGAACAACAATAACAACAACAAACAAGTCCCAAAACAAAACAAAACAAAAAACAATTCGAGAATACGTTGAATCGAACTCACGGTTTTCTATGAGGCAGAATTCCAGCCTCGAATTAAAAAAAAAATCTTCAGTTGCCCATGTCGCAAGGATCGTGTATATTTGATGAAATTTCTTTACAAATGGTTGGCGGAGATATAGAGCTTGTACTTCATGAACATAGATAGATAGATAGATAGATAGATAGATAGATAGATGGATAAATAGATAGATAGATAGATAGATAGATAGATGGATGGATGGATGGATGGATGGATGGATGGATGGATGGGTGGATATCCGAGAGAGAGAGGAAGAAAGAATGAGAGAGAGAGAGAGAGAGAGAGAGAGAGAGAGAGAGAGAGAGAGAGAGAG